GAAATTCATACACAGATGTCCTCAAGGACACATGGCACAGTGGATAAAGGCGTTGGTTAGACCTCTTCTGCTGTCTTGATCCTGATCCCCGTACTTTTCTATATCCTTTCCTCAAACACCCCCTCTTTTCTCTTACTCTCTGTAAGCCGTTATATGCTAGTAGCATTCCCGCCTTGCTTGGTGCGAAAAAAACCGCAGAAGTGTTACTCATCGCCAAATTTAGTCGAAGCACGGATCTAAATTCAAAGACATACATTGAAAGACGTGAGATTTTCAATGATTCTACAGTTTCCCGCCATTCCTGTTTGTCAGAAGAACAAAGAAAGAAGTTAGAATCGGAGATATGCAGTTAAGTGGAGTTTTATACGTGGAAATTTAGATATCAGCTTTCTCGTCTCCATATTTAACAAACTATTTGTCAATATTGGGTCGTGTCGCTGCTTAATGGCTACAAAATATGGCGTCGGCGTCTGTGATGTAAATGGGATTCTCTGTGTCGGTTTTCAGTTTTGTAAGTGATTCTACCTCTCTCAACACACACACACACATATATATATATATATATATATATATATATATATATATAGTATATTTTATTTTATATGCGCAGTACTTCGAGGAAAGCGCTCAATATCAGTAATAGAGCTAACATATTCAGTTGAATGGATATGAGTTTGTGACCCTGGGTTTCACGCTTTTGCGATCATCAGAGAAACTGGTTTAGTTTTTAAAAAATTGGATCTATTTATGCTTGTTTGTGTTTGTGCAAGTGGCTGATCTGAAAAGTGACAAGAACTCCCCACCACCACTTGTTTCTTCTTGAGAGAACATTCTCGACACCGAAATCGAATTAAAATTGCGTACATATGTATGCCTGAGCGCATGCATGTGTATCTGCGCCTGGCCTTGGATTGTTTATATAGGTGCATTTGTGTGAACTAAAATGCGTACAACTGCATGTGTGTATGTGTGTGTGTGTGTGCGTGTGAGAGAGAGAGAGAGAATGTCATCCCTAAAAGACACGGGGGGGAAATCCCCCCTCCCACCATCAAACATAGTCAAATAAGCATAAATAAATCCAATTTTAAAAAATCAGTTTGTCTTTTGATCGCAAAAGCGTGAAACCCAGGGTCACAAGCTAATATACATACAACTGAATATATGTGTGTTTGTGCGCACACGCGTGAGTGTGTTTGTGTATACGTGTGTGTATATGATATGCATATGTGTGTGTTCTCATGTAGGGTTAATAAATATACAGATTTCTCAGGAATCAACGAATTCTTTATACGACTCTATTTGCCATTACTCTTTAATTGTGAGACTTAAAAGAAATAGGTTCTTTGACATGGTTCGAACCTGCACCCCGTTTTGCTGGACAAGACATTTTTTCTTCCTACAAAATAGGATGCTGGTTCAAGCCCTGCTGGAGAGCATATTACCATTATTAAGTCTATCGATTGCGCAGACCGATGGAGGTAATTCACACTGTTTAAAAAAACAGTACGTCTACTCAAATATAGGGTAACCACAAAACAGCTTTCAGACAAGTAGAAAATGCATAAAGATGTATAATGATTCATTGGAAACGCATTTTAAAAATGATATACTGGAAGTCACTGGTAATATTCTTAAAACATAAAATGCACAATGAATGTATAAAGCCAGCTCTGATGTCTGGGTGCGAAGAATGGATATTTAAGAAAATCACTTAAAACCGATTTAGAAAGGCATAAAAGACCAACGTAAAAAGCAATACTTGGAATAATATTAGGTAATGGCATTTACGTGCTAATGGCATTGGGAAATACATGAATCCATCTCTTCTATCCCCCCCAGCCATGGGTAAATAACATGGCAGACTTGGTCCTATAGCCTTGAGTGTCAACTAATTCTAGGAGCAACTCTGAACTCAAAACCTTAAGTTCTTTGGCACTCTGTGAATCAACTCCCTGTATTCGACTCTTCACAAGCCTCCCTCACTATAATCAAATCATACGTGCGTGTGGCCTGGCTGTTGGTTCTAAGAACTCACCTTCTGGACCTGCATACGTTGAAAAACTATAAAAATATCCTTTATATATATATATATATATATATATATATATATAAAGGAAAATGTTTTAGCCGATACGTTTCGTTCAATGTAGACTTTTTCAAGGCAAAAAATGAAATGAATTTATTGAAACAAACTATAAACAACCAACAAAATGTCGTTTGCAACTAATTTAGAAACACTATTTGATATTCATTTGGTCAACTGAAAAATTATGTCACTTACTTTATGTTTGAAGAGAGTATTTTCACGTGTAGAAATATTGTTTGTATTGTTGTGTTGACGGATTCAAACGTTTTCTTTGGATTTCTTGATGTATTTGTTGTGTACGTTGGCTTGAAAGGGTTGTGATTCTGTTAGGAAAAGTGATATTGGGAAAAAAATATTGTTTTTTTTCTTTATATATATTGTCTTTTTCTACAGTTTAATTCTGAGAAATTTTTACACCCACATATATATTTTTATATGTGTGTGTGTGTGCGCGCGCGCGCACGAAAATAGACACTGAGGTCAAAACCGAACGGCAGCAGTCTGTTTCATGCTTGAATACAATCTTCAGGGCATCGGTATTGTGTTTTGGCTCGACTATTTATATACGCGTGTCAATGGTGCATTATGGTTAGCAAGGTCTAGCGTATTATCTTAACGGTTATTGGGGAGGCAGTAACGGTCATATTTCAAATTATTATTCAAGTAGAATAGAAATAATTGTGGATACGAATGCGGTTATTTGTAACTAGTTTATAGTGTTTGCTATTTTTTAAACTCATTTTTTAGTATTAATTACTTAATTATTTGTTGCTGATTATTATTATTATTACATTTATTTGTGTTTATGTGCGCATTCATAGTTTGTTAATTTTTTAGCTAATTTATTTGAATTTTTTATTAATTTTAATATTTTCTTTATTTTAATTTTTCTTTATTTTATTTTTTTATTTATTTTAATTTTTTTCGCAGTTTAGTCATCTTATTCGTTTAGTTTACAGTATTGGCTTTGTTTAAATCATATTACTTTATCTGTGTTGTATATCTTGCATATATTTGCATTTTTAATGGTGGTATTTTACAAGGTATTTATTTCTAGTTTTTGGTTTTTAAGTAACGCAGTAACGCTTTGTTTTCGTGTCTGCATTTTGATCGTTTACTTAGTACTTTATGTTCATATGGGAAGGTGATTATAGCTATTTTCTCCTCCAGACAGAGTTTTCGGATTTATTGTTGTAGGCTGGTGCTGTTTTCCTTATTTTCCATGATTTATTAATTCATAATAGCTGCACAAAAGTCTTGCTGGGCATGATATCGATAGATAGTGTTATTTCTTCGTTCAAATTTGTATCTAAAGAACCCGACCTTTGAAAAACAGGCAAAACCACATTCATTACATGAGAGGGGCACCCCTGTGTTCCTCTTTACATGTTCCATACTTGTTTGTTTCACCACAGCATGAAATTCATCAATACCAACAGCAATGACATCTCTCCGCGACTTCCTATCTGATGAAAGATGTTCCCAGGCGCTAGTGTCCAAGTTTACCTTTTTAATGGTGTCCTTAAGTTTGACCCTGAAGCATTTGCGCGGCTTGCATTGAAGACGCTCGCCTTTGCGGGGTCTCACTATACAGCACCTGTTTCGGCTTGCGATTGTCTTCTAAAGGAACAAGGTGATCAGCCCAACTAAATTGATACCTCATGATCATGGATTTATTATTTTAAACAGCAGCAGTATTGTTGTATCGTCATGAGATATTCACACCTGAGCTGGCGGACCCGCCCGAGACGTTGGATAAGTCTACGGTAGGTTGCCTACGTCTCGCATTCATAGAATAACGTTGACATTACACACATTTCGTAAACGTCTACTTTGGTTGCTATTCTGATGTCTGATTGCCACTGTAGTCTCAATACGAACTAACCGAACACATTACAAGCCTTAGGGATTCTATAACTGACTTTAACTGGATTATGGAATATATGGCCCGCCAGGAACTGTTTGTAGCATAACAATAGAATTGTTACAGAAAACTGATCCCACGGGGTTGAGTAGTTCATCAGAAGCTACAGTTCCGCCTCTGTGTGTGTTACAAGAGCGTAGTTACCAGCATAAAAACACGAATGAGAGTAATAAAGGTTTTCGCCGCTAAAGTGAATCGACTGGCGGTAAATAATTTTCATGTTGTACAATAACTGATGCCAGCATTGCTATGAACAAATGTTTGCAAGATTACAAAGGAAATCAGGAATAGAATAAGAACCAAAATATCACCTTGCTTAAAACCAGACTCAGCAGCAATTGGGTTCTAATCGTTCACTGCTGACACAAATTCAGCCCTACCTGTGGTCATGTAAAGATCTGATGCGACCTGTAAACTTTTCAGGACGCCATAGTTTAATAAGGATACACCAAAGCATTGGCTTATGCATAGTGACAGAGTCCTTGATGAGATCCTTGCAAGATGAAGTTTTTTGCTCTCTGCACATCCCTTAAACGTAAAGATCATATCGGTTTTAGCTCAATTAGGCCTAGAGCCACATTGCGAACTTACATGGGAGAATGTTTTGGACAAAACGGTCCAGCAATCTCTTGAGCGGTATCCTTGCAAGGATTTTACCAACAACAGACAACAGTTAAATTCGACGTTATTTATCACAAATGTTTTTGGGTCCCATTTTATATATAGAAACAAGAATTGTATCTCCATCTCTTGTGGGGTTACGCCATTTATTTACACTATATGGAAAATGGTAAACAGTAACCCCAATATCACCTCAGCCCTTTTACTACACCTTTTCAACAACATCGCCATAATTTCCAGGGGCCTTCTTGGTATTCATCAGTTTTATAGCGACCATTATTTCATCTTGAGAGGTTCGTCAAGCTGATTAATTAGAGTTATCTGTGACAGCCATTCAACAAAAGTATATCGCGGTTCAAAAATCAAAAATCACTGCAAATGCTGGCGCAATCTGGCCCTAATTTCATCTGGCTTCAGCAAAAGGGCATTGCAATAAGATAGATAGATAGATAGATAGATAGATAGATAGCTGGCCACTCGTATTCGAGGATACCCGTCCACTAGGGCGGCTAGCCAATCTCTATTGCAGACTCTCGCTCAGGTGCATTTGTGTTTGTTCAACACCCACAGAGCCCACCTGTGGTTTATACTCAACTATGCCGAGCAGACCTTAGTTACAGTTTCTGGAAAGGAGCGTTTTATCTAGAATGATCAACAATCTGAACAACACCAGAACACTCAAACCCTCGGTCACGATGACTTGTGAGTTCGTGCTAGCACAGCTATCGACGGCCCCCAAGTGTTCTGTCTAGCCAAGGCTTAGTCAACCTGTGGCATGGCTTTCAGGCCACACGTTGGGATCATCCCCGCTCCCGACCGATATCACAGCTATCGACGGCACCTAAGGGTTCCGTCTACCCAATTTCACTCACAAGGCTTGGGCTTTCAGGCATTTTCCAAACGTGCCGCAAGCCGGGATCGACCCTTCCAGTCCGATAACATCAGGAAGTCTCCTTACTGACAAATCGACCATGGTGAGATTCGAACCCGGATCTCATGGTCAGAATGCGAACGTTCAAACACTCGTCCATATTATACATACATACATAAATACATTTTATATTTAATCTTTATATTTCATGTATATTTCTATGTATGTGCCCGTGTGTATGTGTGTGGGTGTGGAAATGTTTATTTATATACGCAATCGTCTGAAAATTATAAATTACTTAATGTTAAATCGATAACCAGAAATGCATGCGAATTTTGAAACGCCTAGATCTGTGCAGAAAAATTGAAATGTTGAACCAAAGATTTGATCCATTCACGTGACACCTGAACGCAATCAAATAGGTACAATTTCCAGCTGCAAAACCCTTCCAACCAGCGTTTTCACTCTTTCAAGTAAATACATCCACCAATGAAAATAAAGCAGAATCATGCAAGCGTAATATTGAACCGAACAACGACTTGTATCCATTTGTAACTCTACGCTGACAGATATAGTCTATGTAAGTGCGTATTTTCAATTAACGAAGATTCCGTGTCATATATATGTTGCTAGTTTTTTTCTTTCTTTCTTTGTATCTGAAATTTTTCTTTATGGACGGAATGAAGCAAATACTGATTCATTTTTTTTTTCCAATTACCAACATCATAGTAAATAGTTTTTCTTTGATTTTCATTTATTTTCTTTTATTCATTTCGAAGAATGGTTATCTGTTCGTGGTTTCGTTATATTGTTTACTTCCTCTGATGAAATTAGAACAAACAGAAAAAATGGATGTTTCTCGTCTGAGACTAATAGAAAATGATGAGAGGCGAACTATTGAGCAAATGATAAGAAAGATATTACGGAAGAAAAATTATCACAAATGAAAGAATTAGATAATAAAAAAAAACGGTTAAAATGAGACATAGGTAAAAAAAAAAATTGAGGAAGTACAGAAGTCGACGACCTTCGAATTGGCATTAAATAAATAAAAATATGGTTGATTAAAAAAAAAAGCGGAACAATTAAACAAGAAAAAGTGAAAAGACGAATTGACATTGAATGAGTGACACCAAAGAAAAAGACGTTAGAAAGAAAGAAACACAAACGAGAGTTGACGTAATGAGACGAGACTTGACGTAATGAGACGAGACTGGACAGGTGAAGCGAATGGAAACCGTCTGTCGAACGATTTGCCATCTTCAAACAAATATATAATCAGAAAGTAATCAATACGCAACACATTGCTGCCCCACAAGCAACATGATGCCGGTGACGGGGTGATGGTTGTATCTTAACGCCATAGTAAAGAGTTGAAGACACACTCAGCCAGCCACGATGATTGGTGCGTGGCAATGACTCAGACCATTAATTGTAAACGGACATTTCACTCGCTGCCGATCTAACAAACCCGTCGAGTTTGTGTCAGGATGCAAAATGTTTATTATGCCAGGTCATTTATCACCGTAGGCTTTCACAAAAACACCGCAGACATTAGGTAGAGCTCTTTTTTTTAATCCAGTGAGAAAGAGTTATTAGGGAACCGAGAACCCGTTTAGAGACTAGAATTTTTTTTTTCCTTTCGAAGGTTGGAAGCGATGAGTAAAATTCAGGGATTTATTCATCTATTTATCTGCAGTTTTATTGAACAGAGTTATAAATTATGAAGACAATTTCAATATTGAGAGTTCATCATGTGGTGGTCTAGTTGTTTCAGATGTCGGAGTTACCATAATGTAGAGGCATGGTAATAAAAATGGACAATTGTAGATGTCTGTTTGCTGATAAGAATAGATGTTTGTTTACGACTGCATGAATAACATGACCACACAATTTATATTAAACATAAAATACCACAAAGCATGAAATACAAGAAGGAACAAAATGGTTTTAAAACATAACATCTGTATTTATCTGTGTGTTGATGTACATGTGCAGAAGTTAAAGATCTGATGGAGTTATGTCTCTTAGAATGGGAATATTTTTATCTGTACTCACAAAAGTTGGATTAATTATAAAACTGTAGTTTTAGAAGAATATTTCAAAGATTCAAAGTTCTTGTTGCATGTTTAGAAATGTTCTGTATGTTTGTAATGTAGGTTGGAAAAGTTCGTACGTACGTGCATGCGTGAATATACTTTTAACGCCAGACCATTAATGGTCTAGACGAGAATCCTGACGATCACATCTTCTTAGGCGAATGAAGAAAGGACAATTTTGTTTAATAATAATAATAATAATAATAATGGCAATATAGTGGAGTCTTTAGACTTTGGTGCCAAAAAGGTGTAAAGTTAATATTTTCACAAAAAAATTGGTAAACTATAAACTAAAATTGATAACTATATGACGGTTTAATGACGGTATAAGACGGTATATATGACGGTATATGATGGTATAATTGGTATTAACTATATGACGATATAATGACGGTATATGACGGTCTATATGACGGTATATAATATTATTATTGGTATTAACTATTTGACGGTAAAATGTTAAGAATACACTTATAATTCATGATGAAATCCGGAATAAATTGTATTTATATATGTTCCACGTGATCATTTCAGATATAGCGTCTATTTTTCTAACAAATATATAAAATAATTTATTTGATGGCGTGAGATCTTTGTATGTAACGCAAGTATTTTTCATTATATTGTAAATAAATATCTGTAATAGCAAAGTTATTGATATTTATATTTTAAATTCCAATATACAAAGATCCCCTTGGGTTGTAAAAAAAAAGATTACTTCAAAAGAAAGTATGTTATTGGGTGATGGGAAGGCCAATTTTGAAATTTAGGAAAAGGACAAATTAAAAAAAATTGCTTTAAAAATTAGAAATAGATATTTGAAAAATTAAAGGTGTAAGGATTTTTTTTTAAGCATTACGCCTCAAGCAAGGCGTGAAGCCACTAGGATGCAGGGGGTTGCAGAAGATTTGGAGCGAGAGCAGATAGGAGTGATAGAAGAAAGGATGAGGAGAAGGATAGTGGATAGATCAAGGTAACTGGAGATGTCGATTGACATTACATTTGAATAGTTGGAGATTATAGCTCTCAGGGAAACAGTAATTGGGAAGGGTGTTCCACAGGCGAGAGGTGCGAGGTATGAAGCTATTGGAATAGAAGAGACGGCTACATTTAAAAGTTTCTACAGTGTAAGGGTGGGAGCGGGATGCCAGCCTCGTAGGGCGCTTGAATTCATGGAGGCTGGGAACCAGTGAAAGCAATTCATCGGAGCAATTACCATGAAAGTATTTGTAGAAAAGACAGAGAGAGGCGACGGCGCGTCTGTGAGAGAGCGACTGTAGACGAGACACCAGATCAGGGCCAATTATATTACATATCCGTCTCTGGATCTTGTCAAGAACTCCGAGGTAAACAGAAGGTGCCCCAGATCATATATGGCAGCAATACTCCATGCAAGGGTGAATGGTTGATTTGTATATTTGAAGTATCGATTCCGGGGAGAAAAATTTCCTGGCGCGGCAAAAAGATGTGCCTTCTCACCAGATTTATTCAACCTGTGCAGTGAATTGATTTTGAGATAATTAGAATTCTTACAAGGATTTATTATTGGCGGCCATAATGTTAACAACATTAGATATGCAGACGGCACGGAATTGGTAACAGACACAGAAAGTTTTCATGTAGCTTGCGTCGTGTCCGCTTCGACGTTCCATTGACCTGTGACTGTTACGTTCTGCTGGTTCTTAACTTTTTGCATTTATACGTATAATACATCAAACGTTGGATTATTCTAGCATGATAACGCTCTTCTTTCTTTTCTTTTTTTTTTTAAGCGTTTCACCCCAGGTAAAGCGGGAAGTCACTAGCACGCAAAGGGTTACAGAGAGTTGAAGCGAGTGCAAATAGCGGTGATAGAGGAAAGGATGAAGAGAAGGTTAGGGGATAGATCAAGGCATCTGGAGACGTTGATTGATATTACATTTGAATAGTTGGAGATTATAGCTATCAGGGAAACAGGAAAAGAGACAGGAGTTCCACAGGTGAGAGGTGCAAGACTTAAAGCTATTGGAGTAGAAGAGACGGCTACATTTAACAGTTTTGACAGTGAAAGGGTGAAAGCGAGATGCCAGCCTAGTTGAACGCTTAAATTCAGGAAGTCTGGGAATCAGCGAAAGCAGCTTATCAGAGCAGTTACCATGAAAGTATTTGTAAAAAAGAAGAGGGAGGCGACGGCATGTCTGTGAAAGAGCGACTGAAGACGAGATTCCAGATCAAGGCCAATTACATTGCATATCCGTCTCTGGATTTTATCAAGAACTTTGAGACAAACAGAAGGGGCTCCAGACCATATATGTCAGCAAAACTCCATGCAAGGGCAAATGGTTGATTTGTAGATTTGAAGCATCGACTCCGGCGAGAAAAATTTCTTGGCATGGCACAGGGAGCCAACTTTCCTTGCGATGGACGAAGCTATTGACTCAATGTATTTCCCCAAAATTGTTTGAACAGCACTCTGAAGACTTCCAAATAATGGTATTGGCACCACGTTCGCTCAACATGAGTCAAGTTGTGCATTTTGGGAACGCACACGTACTATCTTGAACCTACAAATATCAAAGAGCAGTGGACAGTTAATGAGACGACATGGCTCAGCATCTTTCCAGAACTCTTCCAGCCACTTGAAGAATCTTATTCCATAACATTTGGCAGGTCATTTTAAATATAAATATTTTGCTCTCAACTTTTTATTAATATCAATGTTATTGTGAAACATTGACCTACATAAGAAAATAGGAAGTAGAAATAAATGAAGGAAACTGAAAGAAACTGGTATGAACACCATCCAGATCCGGTTATGGAGATAAGAACTGTAACAATTTTATCGGATTTCACAATCCACACAGACAGAAAGCTAATCGCCCAGACGTTATTTGAGACCAAAAACAAAGGAATTGCTTCCTTATTGATATGGAGACTAATGTATCTTTGAAGATCTTCAAAAAGCTATCAAAAATACAAGGACCTTGAAATCGAAATCTCAAAAATGTGGCACATGGGAACAGCAACAATTTCTTCTGTAGTTGGAGCCCTCGGATTTATCGGAAAAAATTCCAGTAGACTCAATAAAGGGATTCCTGGTAGCCCATGCCTTAAAGAAATACAAAAAATTGTTGTCACGTGTACAGCCCACACCTTACGAAGTGTTTTTATCTATGTAAAATATGTGTGAATTTTTTTCCAAAATTTCTAAGTGGAAAATTTCATGATGCCATTTCTGACCTTAGGTAAGAAATGAGTACACACCAGAAATCAAAGGAAAAATCAAAATAATAATAATAATAATAATAATAATAACGCCACAGGCATAACAAGCTAGCGGCACATGTAATGAACTAGCAGCATGACACGGCGTTGCCCGTGCATGATTAAAAAATCGTACGACTCATACAGCAATCGCTATCACTTGACTTAAAATATTTTTGCCCTTCCTTGTCTTTAAAGGAGTGCCCTTTGCCGTGCTGATGTTGCTACATGCCTTACTTCTTGCCTATCTCACACTGCGATTTTTTTTCTAAGCTCTATACTAAACATTAAATCTGTTACGAAAAAGAACTAAACAAAATGAACACAAAACGATCAGCTTTAAAATGGACTCGTAACTGGAAAAACCGAATGAAAAAAGAATGTTAACAACAAATACTTTTTCACACCCAACCCAGTTCTGCGGAATCAGAATCAACGTTGAGTTTAAGCAAGCGAATGAGCCAATTGGAGTAAAGTGCCATGCAGATTTAAATTTTTCCCACTTGTGACGAATGGAGCTATCGATTTTTTTTGCATGCTAGCATGCTAGTTAACATTCGTGTCAGTCAGCTGTTGGCTCTCACGCTAGCCAATAGAATCTTCCTGCCTATTTGTGGCAGCCAGCTATAGGCTCTCACTCTAGCCAGTAGAAAATGGCCGCAAACTACATGAAAACTCCCGTAGAAGCATGAAAAAATTGATTATTTCCACTATCGATGGGAGTTGGGAAATGCAAAGTCGGTCTTGGACTTTCCGCTAACTTGGAGCATGTGCATGTAAATTTTGGTGCAAATCCGTCGAAAATTGCGGCCGTGCATTTGTTACACACACACATCCTGCCTTTTATAGATAGAGATAAACCCACAGACATATCAAGGTAGCGACATATGTGCATTGGAAGATATGAAAGAAGCACAA